AAAGGTAACCAACATCTTTTTCCAAGTCACTTATTCAAACCGCTCACCACTGCTGCTGTAAAATGATTGTGATGCATATGGTTGTTATTAGGAAATGCTTAAAAATAGAAACAACATAATGTGGTGATGCTTCTCTTTCAGTATAAAAGTCACTTTATTGTTTATTAGTTACATAGTGGAACTAATGAATCTGGGTTTTTTCAGCAGTTGAGCTGATTTCCAGCTGTGGAGATGTGCAGATTTGCGTATAGCTTTAAAGCCACATGCCATGACCGCTGTTTCAAGGTCTTCCAAAACGTCCTGGTCCACTGCAGGGAACTTACAGGAAATCTCTCAGGGATGGATGAGAGGAATTTTCCTTTTAAAAAGGTAATTCTGTGGCTGTTCCAGTCAGACAGTAGTTCACTGCTTCAACAAAACACTGTTACCTTTATGAGCACAAATCTCTTACACTCAATATAATACAATGCATCTTTGGGAAGTGGACAATGACAGTTAATTCTTCCTTTTAACATGCAGTCTGTAACCTTTCAGGCTCTGTTCACTCAGTATTCTCATGCCACAGCTCCCATTGTAATTGCACACAGACGCCACACATACAAAACCGGCTTTCTGGCATTATTAGTCTGAGTCCATTAGAAAAACCATTTCAGTCAGTAAGGCAAAATTGGTTTTGGCTGCAACCAAAACTGATCACATAACTGTGCCAAAATGTTCATAAACTACACCAAACTGAAACTGTAAGTATTATCACATCCACAAGCCATTTTTTGAGAGCACATTCCACAGAAAGTTGACTGGAACCATACTAAATACCTAATAGAAAAGTAATATCCTGTCAAATCTATTAAAAAAAATTTCTTGCTGCTATTGAATTGTTAATTACTGAGGAAACACAAAACAAACTAGAAACCAACAGCTCAACATAAAAGCAGCAATACACTAAACAATTACTCACCTGTGAGTCAAAATGACTGGAGCAAGGATTAACTCCAGAGCAACAGACTGACCCACTTTCAATAAAGAAAACCATGAACACATGAAAAGGATTATATTAGGAAAAGGAGGGGTTTCTGTGAATCTAGCAGATGTTTCCTCTTTCTTGGGGTTTTGCTTAATGTGGCAGGTCAACTGACAAGGCGCGCTTACTTACAAAGCCCTTAACTACAGCCCGATAAGTTGAGGTATTTGTAGGTGATGTACGAATTTCTTCATGCGCCATAAGAGTTGCTCACAGTCACTAAAACACTAACATTAGAAACAATGGTGGCTTAGGTAGCAATGACTTCTCTTTGTTTTATTAAAAAAAAAAAAAAAGCTTTCATTGAAATTGATGGTGCAAAGGTTGGAACCATTCCAGCATTTTAACTCATTACTACACTGACTTTTTTCTCCAGGAGACAAATAATGCAGTTACAAACATCTGTCATTCTGAGTAAAGTGTACAACTTGCTTAAACAGTAAATGTTAACTCCTTTCAAGATTTAGCTCTAGAGCTGATACTCATTAAAACTCACTTCAGCTAAGTGTCCTAATTTGCCAAATTAGCTTAGTTTAACTAGAGACACAGAAATTATGATTTCATAGTCACACAGGAAAGCTGAAAACGTGTTTTCCTACATCACAGCTGGGCTAAAATCAAGGAACAGCGCAGTGTTACAGCCTTTTCCCCCCTGGTGGTGGTTGTTGTTGTTTCCACAGCAAACGCATCTAACATGTCACAGTAGGAAAACCACAGGTGTTAGTAATAGCATTGTTCCATTAAGTCATGACAGAGTGAGCCAGTAAGGACAAAGGCCCGGAAAACGAAGCAACCAAATCTTTCTTTTTATCACATACAGCCGTGCGTTTCTTAGTGTGACCCGTCAAGATGTTAGCATGTCTGGAACAAATACAGGTGAAGTGTCTGCGGGGCAGAGCCGACCACTGCAACATTAACATAACTTAAGGAACGTTCCCAGAACATTTAATAACATTCTCTAACAAAGGAATAACGTAATGGGAACGTTCTTGTAGCAAAACATTCATATCTGGGACGCAGCTTAGATAAAACCCACGGGTCGTCATCATAATGGCACAAACTATTTTGCCAAGCCTAACAAGCGCCTTGCTGTTTGAGCAAAACATCTACATATGCACAAGTTAAAAGAAATGTTACCTTATCTGCCAGCTGTTATTCTCTGTTGACCTTTTTTGTGAGGATTTCCACCCCGTCACTACCGTGATAGCATTCCCATGTGGTGCGCACTTCTGTCCTGCAGCCATAGGTTAACCCTCCTAAACTGGCACTTCACGTGTTCCCTGTAAAGTAATTTACCATTCTTAAGCATGAGAACGCCCGACAGTTCCCAGTGGAGAAATTCCTCCAGAAATTCAAAGAAGCTCGTAACCAAAATGATAGTGGAAACTCACCTGTTTTTCTCTTTGCCCCGCACTCCTTCCTCCAAACTCCTCCATAACGCGGCACCGCCGTCTCATTTAGGGAGCAGAGAGGTCACTTTATGACAACATATTTGGTCTGTTCTCCAGTGAGGTCAACTGTGACTAGACCTATTCAGTCACTGATCAGAATGAGTGACTTCCACCTCAGGCCCTTCACAATAACGCCAACGTGCTTCAAGTGGACGGATTATTAGACACAGGGCCCTGGGCACAAACACGTAAACGTCCTCCCCCCCTACAGGAGGGAGACACACAGACTGTCTCTTTTTATTAATTTTGCCAATGTGTGGTCGCTTGGCACCTATTTTGATGTTTTGCATTAGTATTAATCATTTTGAGTCTAGATTTATTTGTGATCATTTTGTATCTTTGCATTTCTTTTGTGACTCTTCTGGTCATTTTTTATTTGTAGTTATTTTGTTTCTCTTTTTAATTGCTTTGTGTCTTTGTGGTTATTTGTGTTTATGTTTCCTTTGTTTTTGTCCATGAGGTACTTTTGCATGCTCTTTTGAACCTCCCTGTGGTTGTTTTGCATCTAACCAATTTTGCGGCTATTTGTTCTTGATCAGCTTTCTAACAAAGCTGTGGTCTAGGGGACCTGTGATCCTTTGGGCCCCTGCATCTGTGCTCAGTAGCTCTGTTCAGTAGTCCATCAGTAGTGCTACAGAGAAAACTGAAAAAGCTTCTTTTGGTACTATTTCATCTGTTCTAGCATAAGGGGCACCTAGAAGGACCCACCAAGGGACAGCAGGGAGTGGAGAGGGGACAAAAAGGGCACTGTTAACTTTCAGACAATGACATTTCTAGCTACTTTTTCATTTAATCAGTCAGTACCTCACATTTATCAAATAACATGGCACAGAAACTCTTAATGTGCTTCAGTAAAAGGAAATGCAGGAGTACAGTACCTGCATGCTATGACTGAACAGTGAGACTTTTACAATAAGAGGTTTGCAGTTTCAGGAATGTATAGATGAACTGGTGCGTGACACAGAATGAGTCCAAGAAAGTCTTTGGAGAATTTAAGACCTACTGGTCATGTTCTAGTTGCAAAATTGCCAAGGTGCAAGTTACCAAATGTGTGAAATACCTATCAATTATTTACTCCAATCCATCTGGTGGGTTTGAATTGCAATACATCATAGCCATAGAATGCAGCTTAAGACCCTTGTGGAAACACAGATACTTTGGTTTCCTGGCCTTGTATTTTGTGGTTCTTTTTTCTTTCACATATTCCACTGAGCAGCACAATTTAGTCTGTTATTTTAGGATCGGCTATCCATGCGGCGCTGTCATTCATCCAGTTTATTAAAATTTTCAGCAATGAGTGGTGTGTATCTCACAATATGTTGTGAAGGACTAATATTTCATGAGATTACTAGAGTTTTGAAATATTTCACAAACATGCCAATGAAGCTGTCATTTGGTGCCCTTGGGGTCTTATTTTCTGTAAAACACAAATACAGCAGTAACATTGTGTGAGGCCGTTGCATAGCCATGCCACCGTTTGGATAGATTTCTCCCCTTGGGTGCTTCACAGTAGGGACAAAAACAAAAACACTACTGAGGATTAGGGAGAGACTGACTGGAGATCTAGTGGGGGGGCAATGTCTGATGATAAGTTTATTACCAGGCATCTGATACTAACTCATTTGTAGCAAAACACCTCAAAACAAGAAAATGATTATTCATATCTCAAGCAATCATACTGGTTTGCTAATTATTACCTATCAACATTAACTTCCTTTTCACACTGCTGACCAGTTTTCATGGTGGGAAGCTACGCAGCCCTGTGATTGAAGTTTCAGTGGCCATATTATGGTTCTTATTTACATTTCACTGCAGACTTTGACACTAAAGACCAGGGACCTCTTAAGGTATATTTGTTATTCACTAGCTCCCTCTGGAGGGCCAAAGATGCACACATACATTATTCCACCAAATGACATCAAATAGTTTTAGTGCAGGGTCATGAATCCAAGCCAACAACATATTCTGAATAGGTTGCCTTGTTACTCAACACAAAGCAAAGAAGATAATTAGAGGTTGGCTGAATACTGGAAAATGCCCTCCTCTCCCTTTCACATCAAAGACTTTCATCTGGGTAATTAGTTTTCATGCACTTATAACAAACAAAAAAAAGACAAACTGGAGCCAAATCAGCGTCTTTATTTTACAAACGCATTATTCTATTGACATTTTTATATAATAAAAAAGCAATTTACAAGCTTAAGAACCAAAATGAAGCAGCACAGAATGATTATGAGTAAAATATATAATTTGAATAAATATATTTTATTTCATGCTATAAAATAAATTCATAAATGGCAATAGATACAACATCAGCTCTAGCTAGCTTCATTTACTTCATAGTTGTAAAAAAACAGTAGAGTTCTGAGGTTCACAGTTGGGTTGTGAGGTTGTATGTAGAGTGAACAAAACAGGAGTTGGGGCATTTCTGCTATCATGCTTCAGTTCATGGTCTCCGGAGTGCCTCAAGCTTCAGCTCTGTGGAGAATACGGGCTCAGCAAGACCTTGAGGCAGAATGTTTGGGAACCACCAACTTACATACAAGCCAGAGACCTTACTAGTGCAGAGTTTATGGAGTTATACAAGGAAAAGGAACAATAGCAAAGACTGAAAACTTCCCCTCTGAACCAAAACAACTACAGCCTCAGTGCCTGAGGAACCAAAGATCGCTGAACTTCAACATGACAACAGACAGCCCGCTCCTAAACAGTGGCTTTACAGCCCAAAATCCCTTTCATTATTTGACACAGCTGGAGGTGCATCTCTGAACAGTGCCACTGAGTTAGATGACTGAAGCACGCACTCGGTTCTTGTGCTGCAGTTTAACACCTACCACTGGATTTTGATGAGCATTAGAACACCAGCAAGCAACACCACTTTCCTTCCTTTGCTTTTTTTTTTTTCTGAAGAGGAAGTCGACCTGTCCAAAGTTTCAGGAAAGGTATAAAAAATAATATCAAACTGACCTGGTCCGACGTCAATTCAACAGCTCCCTGACATTGTCTGTTTGATATATGACAGGCCAATATTTCAATAGGCTTGATGATCCCAATACACCACTTTTAAAAAGGTTATTGCTTTTTTATATAATACACAGTGGATAGCAACTGACAGAAAAGCTATGGAAGACTCAAGATATTTTTTCTTCGCCTGTATCAGTGTTCGTACACTACCTGAAGTGAGTTTCTTATAAAAGGAGTAGGGCGAGCTGCGATTTCAAAAAGTAGTCTGACAGCCTTCCCTGTAAACAGTTCCTTTTGATAACTGGTGGCCCATAACACACGTCCTGTTCCTCTTAGAGGTGTGGAACCAAGAGAGACAAAGAGCCAATTCAAGTGCGTGCCAAGTTAGGTTGGTTCTGTAGGTGTGTACTATCACATATGTAACTATAGTTCATGAATAGCATTTCAGCCTATGATGACTTGTTCACTCATTTATTTAAACAAACAAACAAAAAAAACAAACATAACCTGACTAGTCTAAAAGCACCATTTAAGGGGAAAACATCTCTATCAAAGTGACTGACACCATTATAACCGAGTCCCATAAGGGTACCTACAGAGATAAACTCCACTTCCCCGATGTAGTTGGTATGCACTATCAACGAAAAACTGAAAGTGCACAGTTGATGACACAAGTGGAAGAAAACAGGATTAAAAAAAGTTATCCATTGGCAAGTTTATGGTTGAGCAACGTGCAATTCAGCTACAGTATATGAGGATACGTTCTTTTTTTTCTTAGTCTCCTGGCTCAGGGAACAGAGAGGAAGTAGATTTGTTTTTCTCATGCATCTCCTGACTTCAATGAAATGCCTAATACTACAGTACATTGCTAAGATTGTCCTTAGTGGTTAGAGGGGAGGGATACAGTATAGTCTTGGAACATGGGGGCGATGGCTTACAGGGACACGTCTGCCTTGTCTGATTGTAATCAACTGTTACAAAATTAGTTACACCTCAAGACAGAAAAACAATTAATGATTAATAAGTGATAAAGGAGGGCAGGTCTTGAGCTGGGGGGAAAATACAAAATGGACAAGAGATACATTAGTTTCTACTTCTTGTTGTATTACTTTACAATAACTGGTGTGGCCGCATTTTATAATAATCTATTCAATCAATTTAAAAATTCAAGAGGCACAAAAATCTAAGTGCCAGGATCTAAAATGTAAAGCCTGTGGCAAGGCACTAAGTTAAGATGCCACTTTTTATGAAGTATTCTCTCTTTTGTTTACATTGGCTTTAAATTACAATACCTATTGCACACCTTTTATGTTGTCAGCTTCTGTATGGCTTAACAGATCGATTTATGACTTTGCTGCTTAAGGTCTTCTTAGCAAATTGTTCAAATTTTACAAGTGATTGTTATAAGCTGGGGGATGCACATTCCTCGCAAACAGCAATGAACATTATCTTGACAAACTATTCTTCTTAATGACCATTCAATTGCAATACAGTCAGAATTTGCTACTAGTCTTTGGTGTCAGCTCTTGGCACAAATTGTTTAGCAGTTTGTACTTACTGCTGACAAAACATGACTGACAATATCACAAGAAGGTAGGTATTTCCTCCTTTTTTCCAAATGAAGGGCAAGAATCATTATAGGGAGGTTCAAATTAGTCAGCAAGTGATTTTGGTGAGGTCAGATCAGCTGTCAAACCTGTACATTACATCAGCGTGTGACAGAAATCAACTTAATTTAGTAAACATTCATCTAAAATGGACTGTTTAGGTTGACAGATTGTAGGTGTTGATGACAAAAAGTGTTGGTGATGAATCACACAAAAAAAGATAATGAAAAGCTAGCTATACTGATTTTTGCTAAATTGCCTACATTTTGGTTTGAACTGTCAATGAGTAAAGATGATGACAGCACATTCAGTGGAATATAAGGACTGCACTCTTGACCTAACATTAAAAATAAACAACCAAACAATATTCTCCCACCAAGCACACACAAAGTAGAAAATTATATGAAAACTGTCAAATAATCTAACTCAATTCATTGACACAAATTCAGCATAGACAAGACAAAATAAAAGCATATAAGTAGGTGTTCACGAACAAACAAAAAAAAGGCATTAAATAGTTGGATGGCAAATAAGAAGGGATCACCCAGCTAAGCTTTACACTGGCAAAATAATCAATCAGGCATTCTAAGTGCCTTTACTGTGAACATAGATTCATAAAAAACCCAAGTCTTTTTCTAACACCCCCATGGTTCCGATAGTATAGGTAAAATATACTATTTAGTATAGTATAGGTAATGCTGCCATACATGCGACAAGGGGCCAATAGTATTCATGCAATTGCAGAGACTTATCAAAGTTCACAACATTTTCACTGAGAGGAAAAATCACTGTTGTGAAGACACCACTACTCTGACACTGTTGCTGCATCCGAATTAAGACAGACTCCCTCCTTTTACCGCTCAGACCCTCGCACCCACTAACTCTGCAAAGTGCATCAATACTTTGGATCACCAGCTACCTCTAGTAATATTTAGCTCTTAGCCTTAATCTAGCTATGCTGCATGTATGTCACTGCCTTAAAGTAAAACTGACAAATGAGGAAACCATGTTACAAATCTGCATTTGACCCCAGCCAGAGAAGGCAGAGGACAAAGGCCACAGATCAGTTGTCCAGTCGTAAAAGGTAGAACTGAATGAAAACAAGGAAACACACCACTAGCTCTTTCAAATCATGGAAGAAATACCATGTCAAAATGGCTGAGATTCCTTTGCTCTTTGTTTGCATATTGTTCAGCCTAGTATATTATATTAACTTATATGAACAGACCCAGGGCTGTTCCTGCTGTGCTGAGTGGACAATGACTGCTCTTGTCACCGTTAGACACTGAGTATTAACCTAGAAGCCTACCTTAGGACAAAACAAGTTACACATACAATAGATCAATATAAATCTGCCATCAGAGTATAGAGGAATACAAATGACTTCACTGTCGGGGTGTAACTCACCCATTACATGGATGACAGCACTGACACCACGCCTTGGCCAATAGAGTGAGCTCTCTAGTAGTGGCGAGAAATAAAATTCTTAAGTGTTTTGTAGAACAAACATTGTAAGACACCAAAATCATATCTCAATAGCACACAGGGGCATTTTCTTGCTCTATCCTCTGCATTTGCCAAAAACAAACACACAAGCTAGCTAGCAAATATAACGCACTCCTAACATAGCACCTTCTTAATCATCATTTTAACCTGGCAGACCATGAAACATTTGACAAGAACTTTGTCTATAATCCATACAATCAGCAAGGAATCTTTCCCCTAAGTATCAAGGCTTTGCGTTGAGAGAATATTCTTTACAAGGATTGGCAACAGGGTTCTGTACATACAACCTAAAACGAATTTCAAACGGTGAACACATCTGTGCCTGGTAGGTTCTTGGCTATGAGGTAGAACCTGGTGAGTTCAGTTAAGATAAAATACTGTCTGTTATGAGTATGTAGTTGCATCATGAGGTATTGAACGAGTATGTCACACGAAGCTTTGCACTGGCAGAAAATCATTCCTTGTGAGTAAGTGACCTCCTGTGGCCACATGTGCAAAAAGAGGTCAGGTAAAAAGGTGATATGACAAGCATCTTACCAGAGCTTTCACATTATCAATTATTGCAACATGCCTATATAACTCTGTAAATATGTTTTAAAAACATTGGAAAGATAAAAAGAGAAATCAATCAGGGGTCTTGATTACTGGGACCTCCTCAAAAATAGTAAGTTGTTACTCCCTTTGTTTGAAAGAATCAAATTTCTATAAAGCACCCATTTGCTCTCTGCATTCAACAACTTTCACAAAAATCAAAAGATACCCTTGATGCAAGAAATGTCCATTGTAGAGGGAGCTGATCAAAGAGAGAATAATCCTTTAATTTGAGTTGAAATAAACATCTCTTAAAGCTTCCTTAACCTGAAGCAGGACCTAAAAATCACATCTTGATGCTTGGGCCTCCTCTGGACTGCATTTTGAACTCTCCTCCATATCATTGGCTGGTGCATCTTCTGCATATTGGGCCTCAAAGGCCGTCCCCTCAGACATATCCTCTTGGTCCTTCTGACCTGAGCTTCTCTCCGTCCTCTCTGGAGAGTCCATATGATTGCTACCCTCTGATGCTCCCATGTGCTTCTTCCTCAGGTGCTGGTTAAGGGTGCCCTGAAATGGGAAGCATTTGCCACAGATCTGACAGTGGAAGGGCTTGTTGTCTGTGTGGCCACGGATGTGATACTCCAGCTGGTCTTTTCTCGTGTACTTCTTGCCACAGAATTTACAAACAAATGGAGTGATACCCATGTGCAGGCGCATGTGGCGGTCCAGGCTCCCTTTCTGATTGAAGGACTTTCCACAGTAGATGCAAATGAGTCTCTCATTGCAAGGATACCACTGGCTCCGCAGGCTATGCTCTCGCACATTGTTCTCCAAGCCTGTGGGTCCTACAGTTGATTCACCATCTTCTGAGCCTGGCTTGATATGACTCAGGATCCCTGCTGGGATGGTCAGAGGGCGCTTTGCCCTGGCTCGCCCACCTCTGTAGCCACTGAGGATTGAGCGGGAGGGACTGGAGGTGCTAAGGTTAACAAAGCATGGGGAGGACAGCCCTGAGTAAGAATAGGCAGCAGACTGGATAACAGGACCATAAGAACCCACACTCACTGCCAACACCTGTTCTCCATCTACCAACTCTGTGTGGTAGCCATCATCACCAGCTGAGGAACTATCTGAATAAGTGGGTCTGTCGGTCTTCTCTATCTTCACATGCACATCTGTTACTTGCCCATCTTTGCCAATCAGTTCCACTTGCTCCGTTTCTCCTTCCATGGGAGTATCATGCTCTGACACACTATCGCTACTGCCACGGTCTGACTGGCCTTCCTCTTGCTGCTGTCGCCCCCGGCCCTGACTCTGCCGGGAGTAGTAAGGGGGGGAGATCTGGGTAGGGTTTAAAAAGAGGCTGCTGTCATTGACCCCATTGCGGTTGGTCTGTGAGTCATCCTTCTCTGGGCTGCAGACATTAATTGGGAGGCTGATCCTAGAGTGGATGCTCTCCAGAATTTTGGTGCACTTGTCAATGATGGTCTGCATCTGCAGAAAGCTGGCAGCAGTGAGAAAACTGATAATATCCTTGAGCTGCAGGGACATGTGACCAGTGTAGCAGAATGCAAGAAGCTGCTCAAACACCTCAGGGCTTTTGATGACCGAGATGGAAAGGCCACTCATAGTGCTGAGAGCTGAGTGGTCACGAAAGTAGGGTGAACTAGCTGCCAGCACAGCCTTGTGGGCTCGAAATGGCTGGCCCTGAATGTGAACAATGATGTCACACAGCTTTCCTTGCAGCCGCAGCTCATTGAGCTGGGTCAAAACTGTATTACTGAACTCCGGCACATCAAACTCGATGTAGCTGCCGTCGTCCATTTCTTGGATATGTTTCTCCAGTTTGTCGACAGCCTGATGGGAAAACAGAAGAGAAAACTTAGGTTGTGAAACACTGCATCTCATCTGCAGAATTGAAGTATTTTTACAATTTCATTACAATGTTGTAATATGCAAGACAACGGAGTCAGAACAATTGTTAAACTCAACATATACTGTATGACAAATTCTGACATCGTAAGTAGTATATGTAGATGGATGAATGGAGATTTCATCTTTCCTTTAATTTGTCATTTATTTTATTCATTCAC